TGGGGTATATGGGGCTCTTCTTATAGTATATCCAAAGCCATATTCCATTTACTTAAGAGCTACTATAGGGTGTCGAGCTTGTTGGGTTTAGAGTTCTGGCTGCAGAGCTCAAGGTTCAAGGGGTTTAGGGTGTTAGGGTTTAGGGTTTAGGGTTCTCATGCCTGGAACCCCATTCTTCGGTTGGAAGTATGGGCCCCTAATATGAGCCCTTAATCCTGAGGTCCTGATTAGAGCTATAGTCTAATCTCCTTAGGGGGGGGTATATAGGGGATTATATGAGGAGTTTTACAGGGGTTATTTAGGGGAATACTAGGAGTTTAGACAACAGCTCATATACTCTACTCAAACTTTACAAACCCCAAGAGTAAGGACCCTAAACTCTAAGCTGAAGGATGATGACTGCGAATCCGATGAGGGATCCGACTGCCGCACCGACGGCAACAACAAGAATAGGAAGCGGGTCAAGGTCGGACAGGAAGGTTTAGGGCTTAGGGGTCTTAGGGCTTAGGGCCTAGGGCTTTTGGTTTAGGGCTTAGGGTTTAGGGCTTAGGGCTTAGGGTTTAGGGCTTAGGGCTTACGGCTTTGGGGGTTTAGGGCTTTGGGTTTTGGGTTTAGGGCTTTGAGCCTAGGGTTTAGGGTTTGGTGTTTAGGGCTTAAGGGTCTTAGGGCTTAGGGTTTAGGGCTTTGGGTTCAGGGTCTTAGGGCTTTGGGCTTTCGGCTTAGGGTTTGGGGCTTTGTGTTTAGGGTTTAGGGCTTAGGGTTGAGGGCTTTGGGCTTGGGGTTTAGGGTTTAGGGTTTAGGGCTTTGGGTTTAGGGCTCTGGGTTTAGGGTTTAGGCTTTGGGTTTAGGGTTTAGGGCTGCGGGAGAGCTAAATTCACGAGCCCTGCCAGGACTTCAGCAATTTGAAGGCTCCCTGGTGTTGCAAGTGCACAGGCCTTTTGAATGCTGGCTTTCTGTATATGAGGGAGGAGAGGGCCTCTCCTAAGAAAATTTTTACCAGGTGATCAGCGGCTAGCCACGCTCTATTAACCAAGAAATACTTTCGGGGCCGAAAGGTTTGAGGTCATCTAGCACCCTCTAGAAACATTCGGTGCTGATTTGCTGAGCTTAGGGCTTGTAGCTAAGAGGCTTAGGCTTTATAGTGTTTGAAAGCATTCACTCATTCACTGGGCCAGGAAAGGAACCCAAGCGCAATAGTTTGAGTGCAAAGGTTCTCCTGCCTTCCGCGGATATGAGCTATAGTCTAAGCTCCTTGAAAGGGGGTTATATATATATATGGGATACTAGAAGGGAGTATTATTGAGGGTTATAAGGGGGATTCTAGGAGTTTAGGTTATAGCTCATATACTGGCTATAATCTACACGCCGAGTATCCCCCTCAACAACTCCTATAGTACTCCCCTGTACAAACCCCCATATGACCCCCCTTTAAGGACTTTAGATTATGGCTCATATGGAAGTACCCCTAAACCCTAAACCCTATGATAACAAGAACAGCGAAGATCCCCGCATCATGTCAAAGTAGCTCAAACCTGAAGCTCCAAATTCTTAGCCCGCTGTACATAAGATGTTAGGAGGACCCCCCCACCCTGTAATAGTGGCTATAAGGGATAATAAGGATTATACTAAGGTCCTATTATATTCCTATTATACCACTATTACAGGGCGGGCGGTCCTCCTAATTAAGATGTATAGACTTAGCGGCCCAATTTAGATATTACTTGTATGTTTAGAGCCCCGCCCTAAACCCTAAACGCCCCAGGGCAAGAAGAGACGGATGATCTTCAGAACCCCTGAAGCCTCCATGTGCGCACCATTCCAGGCATATATGAACCCGAGCATGAACTTTCATAACTTGCATGTTGTTACAGGCTAGTTTTTGGGTTTGGGGTTTAGGACGGGTCGGAAAGAACAACCATTGAACTTCAGACGCTGAAGCACTGGACCTTAAGCCTTACCACCCCAAGCCTCTAAAGCCTGAGAACCGTTAAGCCCTAAGCCTCTAAAGCCTAGCCCTTAAAGCTTAAACTTCTCAACCTCAAACCCAAGACCAGAAATCCGAACCACTTAACTTTGGACAAAAACCCGAATCAAAGCCTAAACCCTAAACTCTTGGGAGTTTCCGGAATCAGGGTACCCTTCCTATACCACCAGAATATTCTAGTCATTATGATAGGAACCCCTGCAAGACAAATCTAAACCCTAAACCTGAACTTAAGACCCTCCGGCTCAGTCCGCCGACCCAGAGGCGGAGAAAGCACGAAAGC